ACGCATAAAGCTTGATTCACAAATTACCATAACCGCAAGGTAGTGAGAGCAGTGAGTGTACATCTTCTAAGGTAACTTGCTCTATTAATACGAGCATTTTCTTTGGAAATCAAATATTCACTTTCTAAAAGATGTTTTAGTCACAAACTTCTCAAAGCATAGCGTGCATTATTTGCATTTGACAGCGACAGGGGGTTACCCCAATCGGTGATTATTAAAATGAAAAGAGTAGGGTTCTAAACATGCCTTGGAGAAAAGTTAACAGCGTCCGTGTTTAATCCTCCGATCTATAATGGACTCACTCTCCTCCGAAATCGTCACTCCTACGTATGCTAATTATGGGTTTACTTTCAAGGACGATTTATTCAAAAGTGCAAGCAAATTAAGTGTATGTGAATCATTAGTGTCTACACTAACAGGATATCATACTGTAAAATGAAACACAAAGCCGATGCTGCCTCCCATGTTTTCAACCAATCAGGTTTAAGTTCTACACTAGTAAGAAGTTAGTGAAATAACTGCTCATTGCATACTTCGCCGCTCTTTGGGCTTTTGAGGTGACTAGGAAAAGGCCGAATAAAAGGCTAGCATCCTGCCGCATATGAAATTCCTTGGGATTGTACTGCTTGCTAAGAAAGTACCCAAACGGCTCGTTTCGGCTATGGTCTCTGATGATGACTTCCAGAGGGAATCCGAAAAGTCAGGCAAAGAAACTTTTTGTCACGCCTACTCCTTCTCACAGGGCGTTAAATCACGCGAGTCAAACAGCTGACGACGCCCGCGGAGAAGAGGGAGGGAGGGAGCCAGAAAGAGACCACGTGACTAGTATGGAACACCTGTCTACTGAATGCCTAGAAGGCGATCCGCATGCGCAGCGATAAATGACTAGTCTTGTCAAGGACGAGATGAGGGTCGATGGACGGGCTGATAATATGGCAAGTAAGACAGCAGCTGCCGCCAGCGATCGACCACGGACACAAAAAGGGAGGATTGCGGATCGTGCGACGGCCACGGTTGTAGTGTGAGGTGAGTGACGGAGCTAACCAAACTAAGGTCGG